CGGGCCGGGCTCCACCGCAGTGTCGCTGTGGTGGGGGGCAGCGGCCCCGCGCTCCGCGGGCAGGGGGCCGGGCCGGCTTTGCGCTGGGGTAGTCAAAGAGCCCACCCTCCGGCCGGGCCTCACTGGCGCGGGAAACACGGTACGGGGCATTGCTACGGCGGCATGTACACACAAGTATTTCCCTCAGCACTGGTCTTGACCCCCTTTTTTTAAACCGATGCAAATTAATTTGGCATGTTTCCCTCATGTTTCTGCCGTTGTTTTTGAAGGCCGGTTACCGTTTGTTAGAATTTAGCGGGGAAAAGGTAAGCCTGTATACGGGGAAGCCTCTGCAAAGACGACTCGCTCCTCTGGCCTGTGTCCATCCTGCAGCACACCAAGGACTTCATGAGACGATTCTTGTCAAAAGGAAGATGTTATGCTCAGTAAATCTGAAGCGCACGAGTAAATGCCATTAAACAATAATGAAATTAAAGTTGCTAATTGGGCTGGAACAAGTTATAAGAAGATGGGTTTAATGCTGCCTGGGATGCCTCCAAAGGGAATACAGGGGTTGAGAAATGATGGTGATGAAAGTATTGATGTCCCACACATGAGATTCTCTCCTGTTATACAGTATCTCCATCAATGTAATCCTGACTAATCAGAGGCCATGTTGAAACCGCATCTTACATTTGTTACATATTTTGCTGCAGCTTAAGCTGCAGCAAAATAATAACATTCTTTTGCTCCTTTCAATCAGACTTCCCTTCTGAAGTTAGCCTCTTAATTCTAGGCATTTACAATGCATTTAGCAGGCTACAGAAATCCAGAAATACGTTTGTCCCAATTCAGTTACGTCCTGCTACGTTCATACTATGGCAGGAGTGTAAGTGACCTTGAAAAAATGAGAATTGGCCCAGGGTGCTCACTTGCAGGCCAGATCCAACAATGTCCTGGCACAAACAGAGCCCATCTAATGGACTGCATACATTTACAGAGCGTCAGACAAGTTTATTTGTACTTTTTCTCACCCGTTAGCCAGGGGAACCCTTGGCCTTCTCTTCTGACTTGTGGAGAGGGACGCGAGCGGGATGAATACAGACGTGACAGTGGAGGGTAACAGCTTCTGGGGGGAACCCCTGCCATAGAGCCAGACTTGAAGAAAGCGGCAGATACTGGTCTCTGGGTGTGTCGAAAATGGGGCAGTTCTCCACCCATCCCTCCTCACAGAAACTGTGTGAAGGAAATTCTGTTTACTTGAGTCAGATTATAGCACTTTAAAGGAAGGTCATGATTTGGGCCTAAACAATTTTGGCCTACTGCCAGCAGCTCGTTTTCGAAACTATAAATAGGAATGATTTCAGAATACTCTGAAAAATAAAAATCAATGGGCAGGAGAAGCCAGCTGAATTGTATCTCGAAATATTTCCAGATATGTCCTTAAATGAGGCAGTGAGATATTATTTAGCACGAGGAATGCCTTTCATAAATATTAACCTAGTTTATTTTTAATGAAGATTGACTGCATTTAATTAGGGTTTGAAAGATTTCATTTTAGAAAACTTAGGTCTCGCCCCTGGCTAGAAGACGTGTTAAATGACCTAATAATCTTTTCCATTTTTAGATGCTGCCGCCCACCATGATGCTGCGTGTGATTCGGGCCATTCCCCGAGGACAAAGCGGAGAGATTCTTGGTCTGGACAGTTCCTGCTGCGGCTCCTCCACCAGCCTTCCTCCCAGCTGCCCACACCAGAAAGACACCGAGGTCATACCCCGTGGCAGCTCCTAGCAGCTGACAGGGCCACCAAAGCTCTTAGTAACTGCTAGAATATAAAGCAAATATTCTTTGAGCTCCTTTGATCTGTCCACAAGACTGATCCACTGCTTATTAGCCGCAAGAGGCAAACCCAGTAATTATTGCCATATAGTGGGTGTTGCTTGTGAACAGTCTGTCTTCAAGGCAGTTGTTGCCAAATGTCATTTTCCGCCAGTAGTACCCCTGGATGTTCAGCTCTTCTGCACGTGAAATGTATGATGAAGAGTGACCTTTTTGGTTTGCTGTTGGGAACAAAATTAATGTAGAAAATGCCACCTTAAGTGGTCATTTTTGCCATGAAAGAGGCATTTTTTGGAACAGCTGCCTGTTCGATCCTTCCTACAGGCTGCGTTGTTGCTCCACAAGTATGCCTGGCCTGGCTAGGTTCAAGATCTGGGTTTACCATGGTTATTATTTGACCATCAACACATAACCTTACTGTAAAAGGGAGCCTTGAAGAGACATTCTCTTGGGTCCAGTAATTTGAGTAGAATTGAGGATCAGCTAGTTATGTGCTTTAAAGGTCCAGCAGATGTGTCTGTGTGGTTTCGGAGGAAACTTTTACTCAGTGATGTTTGGGGTGGGTATTTCCTTCATAAGCCTTTTGCACCTGTCTTTCGAGGAGAATGTGTGCATACCCATTTATTTCGTGGCTGCTGAGTCCAAAGGTGTCCCGCAGGACTTGGGCAGTTCTGTGGACTGGTGTACAGACTGGGAAAACTTGCAAATCAAGTGGCCGTGCTTGGCTTTAAAAAGATTTCAGTGACAAAGTCTGAATGAAATAACTCTCTGGGGCTCAAAACAGCAGGCATTGTCAGATATAAGGGATTAAAAGGCTTTTTAATGTGGCTTAGTAGTGTACAGAAGATTGGCTTACTTGTATGAGCTCTTCTTTCGTCACATTGATCTTTATTTTGCATTGTGCTTAGTACAACAGAAACCAGAGGTTGAAGTCTTCTTTCCTGAATCATCTGACAGGACTTGGCCCTGTTACTGCTTATTAAAATCTCTTTTTTTTTTTTTTTTTTTGTGAAGGAGGAATTGATTTTTGCCACTGTAGCCAGTGTTGAGTAATAGCTAAAGAATACCAAGTTGTAATAATTTTATGAATGCTGTATGGGGCCAGGTTGGTGAGAGGAAGTTACTATACAGCAAGTTACACTGCTTTATACTACTTTTCCTGTATAGATGTATTGATCTAACTTAATAGGGAGCTGGCTGGTGAAGGAATAAAAGGCAATTTGGTGGTTCCCGTGTCAGCTGTATGTGGCCAAACCGATGAGGTGGTAATTGCGAGACGATAGCTCCAATTCCAAGGGATGCAGCTGGTTTGTCAGGCTGGGAACTAAAAGGATAAAGTTGGTAGAGCCTGACAGAAGAAGTAATTTAACACAGCGGCAGATTTTGCAGAGGAGGCTGGAAGAAGCCAGCCCTCTGCAGCAGTGGTAAGGCACACAGAAGGACAGGCAAGTGTGCTGACTGGTCTATTGTTTGTAAGATCTATTTTGTCTTAAATGGTTTGGTGCTAAGTGTTTTGTGGTCAGTACTTAGAGTCATCGACTTCATCAGAGACTGAAACTGCGAGGTCTGGGTCTGTCTCAGGTCTGCAGAGGTAATCATGGTTGATACACTGGGGATGCAACCTGAGAACTAGTCTGTGGGTAGCAAAAAAAGACAGCTAGAGATCTGGAGGAATAGTTAACCGGTCACTTGTGACAGCAAAATGCAGACACAGTCACAAGTTTTGGTTTTATTTCTTTAAATATGATTTTGTTTATAAATAAGTAGCTTTTAGCATAATAGACAGGCCTTCACCTTGCTTAACCTTGGTGTTTTGATATGCGTGTTGTTGGTTTGTTGTTTTTTTTTATATGGCATAGTCAAAAACACAGTATCAAAGGTAAGAAAAGGTTTGTTACATAGATACCAGTAACGTAAATATCTCAGTTATGTCTAAAATACTGGTTAGCTCCTGTTGCTGAAACATAATACAGCAAAATGTGGTTTTTTTTTATTTTGTTGTCCTTTTATTCGCCATTTATTGTACTGTTGTTTTCACCACATACCATATATAATCGATTGGTTGTCCCCTGCTGTTACCATGGATATTTAATACATTGACATGGAAAAAAGACATTTTTATGAAAAGGAAAATGCAGCTACAAAACTCCTCTTGGACGGAATGGAAGGCTGTGCCATATTTTATGTCGACACAGCCAATAATGTTGTTCTGCTTCATGTTCTTGCCTACCATCTATGCATACAGATATCCATGGCACACCTCGTGTCCTATGAGGCAGGTGCCTAGGAGGGCGTTAGCACACACACTGCTCCTCCTGTCTGCTCTCCCTCTCTGGAGAGGGCAAGAAGGGTTTGTAGGTCAGTTGGCTTGAAATTCAGGAGCCCTTCGTGGAAGAGCGTTTTCAGAATGATGCAGGACAAACAGGAATCCAAGACCCTCCCTTCAGACTCTTCGGTCTGTTGTTGGGGTTGTGTTTTTTTGAGATCAAAGGAGAACACAGTATTTTGAACAAAATGTGCAAGGGCCCACCCTTCCTGAATTGCACTTTTGGTAGTATGTTCTGTCCTGCAGCTGTAATGCTCTCAGAAGGGTTTGGGTTCCCCCCCCTTTTTTTTTAGATATGTATCATGAGAGAATTTTAATAGATGTTTTCGTAGGAGCCTCTGATCCTACACTGTTCTCATTGTGCTTGTGTGTTCCATGAGGAGAGCTGTTGGTCATTACCGGCTTAAGTCTAGCACCTTTAATTCATCAGAAGTTTGTGTAACATATTACTTACATTAGATGTAGGTGCCAAAACTGACCCGTAAACCTAAAATTAAATTGGGACTACAAAATTAATTTCACTCGGATTGGGGAAATTAGACTATAAATGGAATTCCTGTGGGAACTGTGTAAACCTTCTTTGACGTTGATTTAATGTAATTCTTTTCTTAATAGGGTAACTTTAAATTGTGTAACCAGTACACAGTTTTAACCAGCACAGATCTGTAGCTAATTTTGCCATAAGATGAGTATTAACAGGAACATTCTGTGCTGTTTCTGAATTTAAGGATTACAGTATATAGCTTTATTGCAGCTGACTAGACAGTCAGGCGTCATACCCCCTCCCCAAACCTGATCAGGTAAGTAGCACTACAAAGCTAACGTGCTCTTTGCCAAACGTCTCCATCCAGTCAATAAGTGTTAATTTATAAACTGCACATGCACTGGATAGCGTAAATTTAGGGTAAAGATTCATTTTGTGGTCAAAACTGAATTCAGAATCTGAATTTCAAGGATAATACCTGACTCAGAATTTCCTGTCCAAATCACAATAATTAACCCCTAATTTGACAGAATTTTGAATTAAAGACCTAATTTTCAGGAGTTCGAGGTCTGACTACCTCTGGAGCAAAAATCTGCTTTCTCTTAAGAGATGGCAAGTGAGTGTGCTTGTTTTATGCGTGAAATTAATTTAAGGACTGAAATTATTCTGATTCATTCAAATGTTTATGCTCTAGATGACAGCATATTTTGCTTGCTATGCTGCTAGTAACAGTATTAAAAAGCCTATTTTCTTTCTTGAGGTTTAGAAATATTGTTGTTCTTAGAGATAACGTGTTCAGGTCTGATCTTCAAGTTTTTCTCTGAATGTGACAGCATTCAGAGGTCTGAATTGATACATGCACTGTCTGCATGAGAGCTCATGCATTAGATTGTCTCTGCAGGGGACCATTTAGGGTACTTAAGATAATTTGACCTGTGAAAACATTAATTTTGAATGTCTTGCTAAAAGTAATTCAGAATATCCTGCCATTCTGTAAAATGCCTGACAGTGCTTTTAAATAGGTTAAGAATACTCTGAATGCTGGGTCATCTTAGAACTTCCTTCAAGTTGTCTGGGATCTGTTACTCAGGAAGACTTCTGTATTATTTAACACAATATTGTCCTGATCCTTTACTAAGCTGGTAGGTGCATAGTTCTAATGTCTGTCAGGCTGTATAAAGAGCACAGCTGTACACAAGACCTCAGTCATTTCAGATATTCAAAGTAATCACTAAAAGGCTGTCTTTCGCAACACCTCATTCGTCTGAGCCACTATTAAACATCTTCTAGTATTAACAGAGTTCTTAAAATGAATTAATTCTTCCAGACGATGATGTGTTGATAGCAGGTAGCCCTTGCATGTTCATTCTCCCTTCTGCATGCTTAGGGCTAATTTTCTGATCCTGTTAGGTTAATCTCTTAATTGTCCTTCCAAGAAAGTGCTGCCCTTTCCTTGATGAAGTCAAGTTCTTTGTTCTTTCCAAGGAATGTCAAGGGACAAGCTTTAAGACCCTACTGTACTATATTTGCAAAGAAAAGTAAAATGTGATGAATGAGAATCCACTTTAAAATAGAAAACTGCACACAAAAACCCCACCACCGTCGAAGACTTGAGACAACTTTTGGCAGCTAAAAATATATGTATGTTCTTTCCCTTACTCATAAGAAATAATGGTATGAGAGGTATATTTTGCACAAATATAGTTCCAAAAATGCAGGTTATATTTTTTTTAAAAAAAATAATCCCAGACTTCATTAACAGAAATTTAGAACATCCTGAATCCTCTCACATTACAGCTTGACCCAACCCTGCTCAATAATGAAAACAGTTTACATCGACAGGGGAAGGTAGATTTGCCTTTCTGATAAGGCATAACTTTGCAATTGAAAATACTACTAATAAAATTTGTGTGTTGCAGAAGTGAAAACGATAGCCACAGCTTGAGACATTCCCTGACATGACTAGATGGGACTTTAAGCTACAAGATAAAGCCTTAAACACCTTACTTTTGCAATCTGTAATGAAAGTAGCCATCTATCATCGGGTATGTTCTGTATTCTAATGATAACGGCGTTAGCTGCTAGGCCTATAAAAACTGTTAAGGAATACAAAAGTGC